GGTCAAGAGAGCTGATTAATCGTGCAGCCAAAATTTATAGCCTGCATGCATGCGCGAAGAGCACGGAATTACCAGGACTTAGAGTGGGGATTAGGGAGGGAGCGCCTGCGTTCTGCATGATCGGCCGCGGCATGGGGGACGTAACCCTTCTCCACGCATCGATCCGAGCATGCAAGCCGCGGCTTACAGAAATTTCAGCAAAAGAAAGAGAGGGAGAGCGGGAGAGACGAAGTGCCAGAGGAAAGATACAGTTACAATGGTGCCCGCCCAAAATTGCAGTCACACGATTAAGGGCGCCACTAATCAGAGTACCGTTGCAGCCGCATGAAAAAGCGCATAGACAAAAGGCGCAGTGCGGCAGAAAAAGTCCTACTTACTGAATTCCTAAATTCCTATCTAGTGCGGAAAAGTAAAAAGCATACATTCCAAAAAGAAAGTCCAAAATCCCGAGAGCCATCGGGGCTCGACAAAATTCGTAAAAGATTCAAAAGGAAATTCAAAAAGAACGAAACAATTTCCCGCGCGATGTCCACGCCCAAAAGATCGAACCCCAAAAGAAAGAAACCACGTCAACATTTATTAATCGCGCGCGTGGTGGCGCGCCAGACATCCATCCACCCAATCGCCCAGCTGGCCGTCCCCGGACACACCCAGCCCCGATGAAGTGACGAAAAAGGCAAAGAAGCAAGGGTGCTGATGCAATTTTTCACCGACCCCGATTTCCCGTAATTGGCCCAATCTTCCCAGCTTAGGACCCCTCGTTGCAACCGCGCAGAAACCCGCGCGTTACAGAAAGTGGTTCGTCACAACGCCCTGATCTTGGTTGCATATAGCGTATAACAGGAGAGATGCACCAGCGCTCCAAGTATCCATTTATCACACGCAACGCGCCACACCCACCGCCAGCAGGCACTCCTCTTGGGGCATGCCCGACAAGCTCCGCATCCACAACGCATAGACATGGTTGCTGTGGGCCACTAGAGCCGACAAGGTATGGTGGCCTTAGCCTGGGCAAAACCCTAGTTCTAGCGCCAGCAACTTCGGGCACTCAGCGTAGGTCATTTAGCGACGCGCCTCTGCTAGTGCCTCCCCTGGCGGTGCATTAGCGCTGCCTTACCCTACATGCAATCTTTTGACACACCCTCCACACCCTCCCCTAAAAACGAAAATTGTTTTCTCAAAAAAAAAAACATTTTGCCAACAGAGGGAGCCTTTCTTAAAAAACAAAATAAACCAAAAAAAACAAAAAAAAAAACATTTTGCCAACAGCATGAATTGCTCCAGCATTGGCACGTCATTGACGTCTGTACTTTTCCCAGTTTACGTGGCACTTTCTTTCGTAGTACCCCATTACTACATATTTTTTAGCGCCAGCTTTTCATGCTCTACTTGCTTCAGGGCGTTGAAACGAAACGAATGTATCTTCGCCCGGAAAATGGTCAGATTCATCGGTTTGGTATAAATAGTAACGAGTGTATTTTGCCACCTTTGGTGGGCAGATGCACTCGTTTCGTTTTCGTTTCGTGTGCCGTGCGGCGAGACCCTAAACCCCATATTCAAACCGTATTTTTACTTGCTATGTTTTCCGTTTTTTGGGGGGCTAGGCAGTAATCTCTGGCAGACTTTGTAATATGCGGGTCATCCAGCGGCCTAGCTCAGGTTGTTAAGGCCGGCAAGTGGCATTCAGGAGGTTTTGTGTTCAATCCCCAATGGCCTCATGTACCTTCCTGGGCATGCTCGATGATACCCGGGTTGTGCCCCCAATTTGCATTAAAAAGCAGTCTCTGCTGATGTTCATAGGGGGAGGGGTAATTGGGAAGACGAAAAGACTGGCCACTCAGATGATGCTGTGTCCCCCATTGGGAGTCCCCTGAAGGCAACAAGTCCACCCTGGGTGGCTGATGTCAGCTGTCACAGATTAGACACAGAATTGAATTTACCGGGGCTCGTTAGTTCGATGACAATACCTCGAGTGCGATCGCCCTTCTTAAGAAATAATAATAATAGCAATAATAATAATGATGTGCAGGTCATATACACGGAGTACTACATTCACGCATTTGTGCTCCACTGCACAGCATCCGAAGTGTATGTGGACGAGTTTTTGGTCCCGATTCATTGAAAATGTTGACCACATACGTATGTGTTTTCGTCCACATTGCACTTCCCAAGCACGTGGACATGTCGAGCAGTGGTGCGAGGCACTCAAATACTTCCGGTCTACTCAGGAGCGTGCGGCCACACACATGCCAGAGATCCTGCCGTTCTTGCAGCCACCCCTTAATCATTATCTAGACGCAAAGTTGCCCCAAATACAGCTATAATGACCGGGCACTTCCTGCTCGGGTGGAGATGGTAAGAACCATGACTACAGCTGTTGGGGCAACTTTCAGTCTGGATACACAGCCATAATCACCAGACGCTCCATTCCGATGAAGACCGTAGTGGAAGATACCGAGGGCAAACGGCACATACGATTCCGTGCGACTGTGGCGCAGTAAAGAGGGTACCCTGCTCCAGAGACCGGCAAAAATGTGCAGGGTCCTTGTTTTTTTTTTTAATAACTTTTTTAGAGTTTTTATTAATGCTATGCTTTTTTTATTTATGATATGCTATTTATTAATTTTATTTATGTTTTACTGTTTCTAATACTATGTTTTTTTTTTTTCTTTTTTTTGATACTCTGTAATTTTTGTTTTTCGTTTTTGTTTTATTGCTAAGTTGAGCAGGATAGGATAGCTGTACTGCGCTTTCTAGAACACCCTTCCCTCCAGCGATTGTCGCGTTCAGACTAGGACTTCAGGGTCTGAACGTGATTCCGGTCAGGTGCATTCAGGAATGGGCGTAATTACTGTCAGTTTACTTTAGGAAAGTGCTACTGCAAATGTGATGTCAGATTCAATTAGGATAGTACTACGCAGTGTGACGGCATACTCGCACCGTGACTGCCCTACTTTCCTAAATAAATCGGACTCCAATTCCGGTCGGACCTGGATGCGCCTGACAACAATCATGTGCAGAGCTTAGTAGAAAAAGTCCGTTGAGTGCTGCCCGAGTACGTTCACTTTTTTTTTCCTTTTCTGTTTTCAGGGTATATTCACTTCTTCGACCAGACCTTTTTATTATTATTCTCTTTGTAAGGATTCGATCCCGCTGTATGGATTCGAGTCTTTTTGTTATTAATCTCTTAGTAGATTGGAGCTTTTGTCCCACAGAAAAAAAATAAAAATAAAAATCTCTTAGTAGAACAAAGGTGCCGGGAGCCAAGCATGCCCAGAAAGGTAGATCAGGTTAACAGGGATTGAGCCCAAGACCTGCGGAATGCCACTTGCGTGCCTTACCAACTGAGCTTTTCCGTGTGCCAACTACCAGCGTGCGTTTGTTTTTTTTTAGCTGTTGGCCACAGAGTGCGCTTTAGGTTTTACTCTATTGCGCGTTTTCGTTCCACTCAACCGCCGCAGCAGCTGTCGACTACCTCAAAATACAGGAGCACTATCCTCAAGATATGAAGGGAGACTCAAAACGAACGACAGAGGCCTAAAGAAAGAACAAGCTACGGTAGCACTGTGCAGAAGCCACTACCTATGCTCTACCAATGATAGTATATCCGGCATTATCCTCGTCAATTTTTTCGACAGAAAAGTCGTGAACGTCAACACAGGCAGAACTCGAGTGCACGATCCCACTACCAACTAACACAGGCACCCAAACACACGCAAACAAACACACACACACATAGACAAGAAACAAGAAAGAAGGCAGCCAAGCAAACGGGTTGATGGGCACAACACAGGAGGGCGACAAGGCAAGCAGCAAGTCAGCATCTCTAACACCACAAGCCGAAAGAAGAAGACTCCGTAGACTAGTTTTTTTTTCGTTTTTCTTTTTTCTTTTTTGTTTAAGACTGTGGTTCGCACCAGCAACACGCGCCGGACGAAATGTCTGTCATGACTACCGTCTTTCCCCGAACACAGTGCACCCACATTTTGTATGCAGCCGACCGGAAAGATAGCTTGTGTACATTCGTTTTCGGGTCTCATTCTTTTTTCTTTAAATACACATTCATTTTCAGATCTCATTTTGGCTGCTGCCCAGAAGAAGAAACGTAACAAAATATTACAAACAAAAAAGACAAAAAACAAACAGAGCATTATGTGGAAAAAAGAAAACTTTCAAAAAAAAAAGCAAACAAACAGAAAACAGAGAACCATCGAAAAGAACAGTACGCAACGCAGCTGTCATTTCCAACACACAGATCACATAGACGAACAAGCCCCCTACCGTCTTTCCCCGAACACAAAGCACCCTCGTTTTGACTGATTCGGGCTGTTACGGCTGAGATCACGGGTCCGAGTCCGTGTTGCCCCTCTCTTCGCCTTCTCTTTTGTAACGGCGCATATGATTTGTGCGTTTCGTGCCGTTAACTCGATTGAAGAATTCAGGAACGTGTTTGGAATGGCGCATATGATTTGTGCGTTTCTTGCTATCGAGGGTTCCCCGCACTTCGCCCTCTCTTTTGTATCCAAACAAGCGTTGTTGATCAGAACGCCAATTACGCAGCGAGGCAGGTGCATCGGAACGTATTTGGGGCAATCTTCTGTCCAGATGCAGGGATAATTCAACTTCAACCATTAATCGCCGTTGTTGATCAGAACGTCAATTACGCAGCGAGGCAGGTGCATGAGAACGTATTTGGGGCCATCTTCTGTCCAGATGCAGGGATAACTCAACTTCAACCATTAATCGCTTCCGGTCAAGTGAAATCGCCAGAGGTTACCGATATCGACAGCCTGAAGTGAAAAAAAAAAAAAAAAAAAAACCGACAAGTGGTCTCTCGAGCCTGCAGCGAGGCAGGTACATCAGGGTGCCACCAGTGAGTACAGTTCACTTATAGAGAACGAGCACAAAAAAGGAACGAGAAACATGCACATCGTGGAAAGGAGGAGCCTAACAGAGAAGCTTAGCAAGTGTTAATCCGCAAACATGTTTGAAAAGGGACTTCTAAGCCATGGCCTAGGGCCAAACTCACACCTCAAAAAAAGCGTTACTGCAGAACAAACTGAAATTCTTAGCAGAGTTAAATTTAACTGCAGGTTGTCTCTTAAAGAAAATAAGATTTCCAAACAGATAAATGAAAATATCGAAGAGCCAAGACCGGAACAGTTATGGCCTTCCCCCATCCCATCCTCCTGTCTATGAAAAAGATTAGACGAATCCTACTCTGTAGGATGTTGGCAAAACACCCTTTAAAGGAAGGGGAGAGAGAGAGAGAGAGAGAGAGAGAGAGAGAGAGAGAGAGAGAGAGAGAGAGAGAGAGAGAGAGAGAGAGAGAGAGAGAGAGAGANAGAGAGAGAGAGAGAGAGAGAGAGAGAGAGAGAGAGAGAGAGAGAGAGAGAGGTGGGGGGAGATGATCGGTCCCGGTCTTACGATGCCTAAAAGTGGGTGGAGCGGACAAAGCCACAAAGCACAACCAGTTCAAAAAAAAAGGAAGACCTCGACAAGCCAAATGTCCAAGAAAAGAGACCTCAAATGCAAGAAGGATTTTTAGGCGAAGGGAAGACTGTCGACACTAGAAACGGCCCGAGTTTCACATGTACACTAAAATTACAGAGTTTGGTGGGCACTCGAACAACGGACAGCCTTCACCGCCGAAAAACTTCAACCCAGGAAGATGTGAGCATTGCCAGCGAGACAAGCAAGCAAGTCCACTGACGGACTTGTTATGTCCAGACTGGACGCAACCGTGCTAATTCTTACGTACACAACACGGGTCTTTATCTGACCGAGTCTAATGAAGGACTTCGATCTCCACTCCTCTCCTCGACTGAATACTACGAAGACAGACATGTTTAGGTCGACGGGGACATGCACAAGTGCCCGTTCATCCCATTATGCAGCTCAGAGTAAGAGAGAGGGATTGACAATCGACACACCCTATGCGCACACTCACACACGCAAACCACGCGCCAAGTCACACAAACTAAAAAAGAAACACGAGTGAACGTGCGATCAAGCAAGCGAGCGAGCGAGCGAGAGAGAGAGAGAGGCAAGAGACAAGCATTCTCAAGAAGCAATGAGCAAGTTGTTATTGCCTTGAAAGCGTAGTAAAGAGAAAGAGGACAAAGGCCACATCGTGAAGATCTATCCTATGGCATGACGAAAATGGAAAAAAAAAAGAAAAGAAAAAAAAAGGGAGAACAATCAAAGCACGCAAGCTATCGCAAACTTAGCTTGACATGGTTGACATCGTAATGCGAAACCAGCCCTACAGAAGAGTGGAGGGGGGGAATCTGAACCTCGAAGAAGGACGAGGTAGGCTTGTATGGTTGGCTGCAGCGGACATGGGATCGCATGCAATATATTTGCCAGAGAACATTCCTTATGATAGACAATTCGTCACTCTCGTGACGGGCATGGCAAAGTCCACGTGCCACGTTGCCTCTGCTCACACACCATATCCAAAAAAAGGGCCTAGTTTTCTTAAGCCTAGACACGCACCTTGAGAGCACGAGTCTCAAGGGGGTTTAGAGTCGTTCGTAACCTTATGCAAGAAACGGCGACTTCGGAATTCCTAACCAACACCGTTCTCGCAAACAACCAAATCATTCCTGGCATGGCACTCACCCAAATCTATCCACTCACTCGGTCACTCTCCCAAAGAACTTAGCATCCTCCAGGATTTGAACCTGTGACCTGTGACCTGAAGTTCGTCCAATGCCAGGGATACTTTTCTGGGACACTTTTCTAAAAGCTGCGCCGCTATGTGCTCATGTCTAAAACCCGCAAAAGCCAAAGCATAAGCAGAAGCCAAAAGACAGTTGGGAAAACCGTGGAAAAGAAGGGGGAGGGGCGGGGGGGGGGGGGGGGGAGGAACAAACAAACCGCAGTTCAACCTAATCGCCAGACTCCAACTTCACACAAAGCAAGCTCTCTAGACGCCCAATCCATCAGGGGGAATCAGACATATGAGTAAATGCGCACACCCATAACTCCAACTCTTCATTACCAGAGGAGGGGGGCATCTCATTGCCAACACGGCCAATCCATCAGCGGAAGCACATTTAGGCATTACATTTTTCTGAGCGCTGGACATTTTAAGTGAACCACTTACTTACAACTGTGCATTTCAAATTGCCGGGGGAGGTGGTGGTATCGTCAATGGAGAGACTACATCTTCGGGAGAATATAACGCCCGGGCATTATGGCCGTATTTGGGGCAATCTTCTGTCCAAATGCAGGGACAATTTCCGGGAGTTCGTTTCGAATGAAGACGGTAGCCACATGGGCTGAGGCCGCCATCCATTACCGCCACGGCAATCATTGCGATATCGGCACGAATCGCACACACAGGGGCTTAGGAACTCATGACTCGAGCGAGGAGCATGACACTTTTCACCTAGAAATCTAGTGGGAATACCTCGAAAAAGGCTACCTGGAAATCTAGTGGGAAACACGGCGGGCTTTTTACCGAAACCGCACAATCGGCACATCTGTCAATCAGGCAGAGCGTGAGCAGGTCTAGTGCCTGGAATAGGCAAAAAGAGTCCTCAGCACATAGCAAGGCAAGGCCATGCTGGAGATCGGCCTCTCGGCTGGGCTCTAACTACAGGCCCGTTTGCATATAGTCTTGAGTTTGTCCTCCGCGTCCTTTCTGTTCCATCTGTCAAGCGGTCCCAGGTCAACCCTCTTCTCAGGCTCATCCGAACAGGCGAGCCAGCCAGTGTTGTCGGTCCTTTTCTTGATCTGCAGGCAAAAGCAAATGGAAACAATCCAACAACGAGCAAGTCAAACAAATGCCCCGGAAATCCACTTGCCTGAGCTTACCAAATCAATTACATACTCCCATCCTGCAGATCACCGCCAGAAGTGGCAAAGGCTATATCACGCTCATAGCATACAAGTTACGCTGACAACAAAGACACTGAAACATCAGAAACGCAGACGGGAATATAGGCACAGCTTTCGCCGCGATTCTCCTCTCACCCACCGTTAACGGGAGGAGGTACATGGAGACACTCGAACATCAATAGTGGTAAGTACAGAGTTAAACTAGAGAGAGAGAGAGAGAGAGGGCACAAACATGGAGACATACACGGGAGGAGGT